CTCTTGTCTTGCTGAGAGTTGCCTGGGAAAAGAGACCAACCCCCCCCTGGCTCCCCCCTCCTGTCAGGGAGTTGCAGAGAGTGAGGAGGTCTCCCCTGAGCCTCCTCTTCTCCAGGCTGAACAGCCCCAGCTCCCTCAGCCTCTCCTCACAGCACTTGTGCTCCAGTCCCTTCCCCAGCCTTGTTGCTCTGCTCTGGACCTGCTCCAGGACCTCAATGTCCTTCCTGAGCTGAGGGCCCAGAACTGGACACAGCACTCCAGGGGTGGCCTCACCAGCGCTGAGTCCAGGGGCAGAATCACTTCCTTGGCCCTGTTGGCCACACTGTTCCTGATCCAGGCCAGGATCCATTGGCCTTCTTGCCCCCCTGGGCACACTCTGGCTCCTGTTCAGCTTCCTGTCCATCCCCACTCCCAGCTCCCTTCCTGCCTGGCTGCTCTCCAGCCACTCTGTCCCAGCCTGGAGCTGCAGGGGGTTGTTGTGGCCAAAGTGCAGGATCCGTCCCTTGGCCTGGTTGAACCTCATCCCGTTGGAATCAGCCCATGGATCCAACTTATCCAGATCCCTGGATGACCCACACTCGGCTGCAGGGGTGTTTGTGCCTCTCTGGAGCTGGGTCACCTTTTCCAGCAGAGTGGGAGGCAGCTGAGGGATGGGAACAGAGGGGCTGGGGGGTTGTTTGCACCACCCCTCGTGGTCCTGGCTGGCACAGAGACCCCCAGACTCAACCACGCTGGTGTTCACACCCCGACAGTGCCTCAGAGGCACAGCCCAAGCAGGTAAAAAATCCTTCTGAACTGAGGGACTGGTGCTGATTAAGAGAAGAAAACTTATGGTTTCTCATCCAGATGGGAATATTGGGATCCTCCTCCATGCTGGGATCTCCCAGCTCTAGAGCTGAGCCGAAGGGCTTCTGATTTCTTTCAGAGCAGCTCCCAGGGGTGTGGGTCCTTTAGCTCAGTCATTCTCCTGTAAATGTCTCTCTATTTATTCCTGGCCTGCAGATCATCAGATAAAAGAACTGTTAGCTCTTATAATTACTTTAAAGCAAAATGATGTAAGCTAGAACAGCAGGAGCCTGAAATAACTGTTAACTAAAGCTATTAAATGCATAAATGTCTCTCTCAGAGCTGCAAAATGTGCAACATGAATATTAAACATCTAGATTTGCTAAAAGCAAAAGCCTGAAAATAATCAAAAAGCTCCAGCAAGTTCCCTGCACCTCTGTCCCTTCTTCTCTTTGGGATCACTTGTTCCACGGTGGAAAGGAACTGCCCAGCCCTTTTCTCTTCTGAACACTCAGCAGTGTCAGGGGTAAACATTCACCTTGACAAGTGGCCTGTGGTCACAAATGGTCCCACAGGACCTGCTGGACAGTTGGAATACTGGGAGATAACAGGCTCCAGTGAAAGAAGCAGCTTTAGTGACATCAAGATTCATTTCATAAAAAGCAGACCACGGTCTTCAGATGGAAAAAAAAAATCCTCAACCCGTGAAAACCAACCTGCTTCCAGTGCAAAGGAATTTTAGGTTTCCCCTTTTGAATAGTTTTGTGGGTTGAGGAAGATTATTTTGTTATTTCACATCTTCTACTACGGCCACACTTTAAACATTCCAAATAAAGCACTCGGGGCAGCCCCCGGGGGGACTTCTTGGGTTGCAATTTCCCTGGCAACAAATGAGGATTTTTCCACGCTCAGAACAAACCTGAATTTCTCTAAATCAGCCCTCTAACTTGTATTTTTTTCTGGGAAAGTGTTATAAATATGTGGCAGGCAGAGAGGACACGAGCCCTACCGATGCAGAGCGGCGGAGGGTAATTCCAGCGGCGGACGGTGCCCGGCATGCAGGAAATGTGGGAGTGACCCTGCAGGGGAGGAAAACAAGACACAGGGTTGGATCTCCCACTGTTCCAGGTGTTTTTTGGCACCCTTTGGCTGGGCACTGTCCATACCTGCAGGGCGTAGCCCGGTTCACACTGGAAGGAGACGACGTCGTTCACCAAGTAGCGCTCCCCGATCTTCAGGCCGTTCCCAGGAACGGGGGGCTCTGGGCAGCTGGACAGACCCACAGCTGTGGAGGGAAGAGGGATGAGTGCTCCTGGGAGCAGGGATGGAAGAGGGATGAGTGCTCCTGGGAGCAGGGATGGCATCTGTGCTTGGAGGCAGGAGCAATGGGAACACACGTCTCCATTTCACCCCATTCCCCTGTTCACCAACTGCCACCGGCAGGAGGGGTTTGGATTCTCCCCAAAGTCCCGTGGCCTTTGGATTCTCCATGGACAGCCCTGGCTGTGCAGCATTCCCATGTCACAGGGCATGTCCAGGATCCACAGATATTCCCTGGAACACACATTTCTTTTCCTGCACAAATGTATCTCCAATCACTCAGTGATTCGTGGCCAAACCCATCCTGAGTGAACCAGTGATGGAGGAGCTGGACCTGGGACAACCTGGACCCCCAAACCCACCACACCTGGAACTGTGTGTGCCTCTACCAGCCAGGCAGCACCTGAGAGGGATGGGAGAGGATGCAGGAGATCAGGGGCACAAGGAATGTGTTGTCATTTGCCCCTTTCTGGGCAGAAGCTGCCCAGTTCCAATCTCCGACCCTTTCCTTCCCGTTTCCCATCACAGTCTGAATTTACCAGGAGGCACGAGCAGGGCTGGTCCTTGCTGGTGCCTGCAGAACAGCCTACAAGATTTCATTCAATCCCACTTCCATCCCAGCTACATTTACAACTGGGAATATCCTGCTGCAAACCCAATTAACAGCCCCTGAGCTCTCCTTTACACGTCTCTCCTTTACACGTCTCTCCTTCCCTCATCTCTCCCCTTCCCTCCCAAACACCAAAGGGAGATAAAATGAAGCCTGAAGGCACCTCACACCCGCTTCCAGCACCTCCCTCGCTCTCTGTGCTGGCAGCTGCCACTACAAGATAACCTTCTGCATCACTGCAAGGGCTGATGCTCTGCTTCAACCCCACCGAGCCACAGCAGAGGGGAAATAAAAGAGAAAGGAGAGAGGAGAGAGGCTGAGTCTCCTCCTGAAAGCCCAGTCACGCTTCCCAGCAAGGAAACATGTGTTCCCTGCCCGCACATGGATGTACTGCTTGACCTTCAGAGAGGTAGGAGAGAGAAAATGGCTTTAAATAACTTCCCGTTCAGATCAGTGGGCACCAAGTTCCACTCAGCCCTAAATTGTTCTTGCTCTGCTCTGGCTTGTGGAGCATGTGGAGATAAGAGCTTTGCTCCAGCAACCCAGTGAGGGAGAAAGGGGAGGAAAACTCTGGTGTTTTTAGCTCATCTCTCTAAACTTCCTTGCAGCAGCTCAGACAGAGGCAAAACCTGGGGCTCAGAGGCTCTTAAATTCCAGTGGCACGAGTAAAGCCAAGAAAACCACATCATTTCCAGCTGCCCCGAAAATCAACACCTCTTAATTTCCTCAGCAAAGGAAACAAGAAAGCCTGATAATCCCCAGCCTGATGAAAAAACCTGCCCAGGATTGTTGCAGTGGGGGAACTGGGTGCTCAGAGAATTTATTGATTGGAAGGGAGATGGAGAGGGAACGAGGGAATGTCTGACCCAACATCCATTTGTGCAGCTCCCAGTCCCCAGCCTTGTTGGTTGCTGTAATCTTGCTGGGTTCAATAATTGACAAGGTTTCAATCTGCAAAGCCTGTAAAAGCTGGAAGGGTCAGCACTTGCTGGCCTCTAAAGCACAGGCTCAGCTGTGACATTCACAGCATCCCACACTGCTTTGGGTTGGCAGGGACCTTAAAGCTCATCCCTTTCCACCCCCTGCCATGGGCAGGGGCACCTTCCACTAGCCCAGCTTGCTCCAACCTGGCTGTAAAGACATTTCCAGGGATGGGGCAGGATTTCTGTGGATGCTTTACAGAATGAAATGAGCTTTGAAACCTATTTGTTGCTTTAGGAAAAAAAAACAAACACAAAAAACCAACAACAAAACAACAACAACAAAAAAAAACAACAACAGAACATTGGCTGGCTTCAGAGACAAGATTTGTGCTTCAGAACCAATTACCAGACATGGTGTCCAGCAGGAGCCAGCTCTGCTTGCATTGCCCCGGGGAAGATTGGGAGCACAGACACAGGTTCCTCAGCAGCACCAGGGACACCAGGGACACCAGGGACACCGGGGACATCAGGGACACGGGCAGAGCAGCCCCTGGGAGCTGCAGGAGCCCCAGCCTGGCTCCCAGCCCTGTCCCACAGGGATCTCTGGCACTGCTCACTCCCTGCCTGCTGAACATCCCCCTGGATGTGCTGGGAGCTGCCCTCCTGCCCTGCCTGGATGGCAGCAATTCAAATCCTCCCTGGAGACAACCACAGAACAGCCTGAGCTCCAAGGGACCCACAGAGATCATCGACCCCTCCAAGGATTATCAACTCCTGGCTCTGCACAGGACACCCCAAAAATCCCACCTGATGTTGTCCAAACACTGCTGGAACAGGGAATAACAGCCTGAGGTCACAGCCCCCAGCTTGGCTGGAACACAGAACACACCTTTCCTGAGCAGACATCTGCTCCCATGGCAGGAATCAAAACACACACAAGGGGCAAAGAAGGAATTTTTGGCAATCCCACCCAAACCTGGCAGCTCTTTCCCAGGAGACTCCCTGCCCTGCCATCAGGTTTGTTCCCTGAGCACTGAGGACCTAAAATACACAATACTGTGCCCTGTTTTGCACCCCCAGCACGGGACAAACGTTGCTAAGGTGGTTCACAGAGGGCTCAGCACCCACCCTGTGAGGAAAGGCTGCCCAGAGTGTCTGTGCAGCTCCAGCCCTGCAGTCTGTCCAACCAAAGGCTGCAGGAAGATGTGCAAAGCCAAGTTATTTGGTTTTATCTCCTCCCTGACCCTGCTCTCCGTGGGAGAGGTGCCATGAGATGACCTCTGAGGGCCCTCCCACCCGGGATTTTCGGGAGAGGACGTGTCCTCCAGCCCTGCATGTTGTTTCCAGCCCCAACACTGAATGCAAAGAGCAGCCAGGCCCTCCCAGCCTCTGGCTTTTCAGGCCCCTCCCAAGCAAAGATCACAGCCCTGTGCTGGACACACCAACTCTGCATGAATTTTTAATGCTTCTGCCTCCACATCTCCTCCTCCTGTGCTCCAGCACAGCAACAAACAGGGCTACCAAGAGCATCAGGGTCAGCTTGTGACCCCACATCTCCTCTGCTGCATCTGTTCTCTGTTTAACACCCC